ATGAGTTTATACTGGGTAGAGCCAACTTTCACTGGAAGGATGTTTCTAGTCCTTGTTCTCTTTAAAACACCACCGTTCTTTGCAAAATAGTTAATCATCATTAAAATTGGATAATCATTGGTGAACATCAGTTCTCAACAGTTTGTAAATATTCCACATTGACAGCAGCTTTGGAATCTGACTAGTCCAGTCCAGGGGTCTGCAACCTTTGGCTATTTAGACCCTTACTTTGGCTAAAAATGATAAAGAGCCAGTTAGTTCTTTAAAGTAATTTAAATGCATTCATTTACAAAAAAATGAATAAATGCACAGACATATATTTTTGATCTTTTAAAATTAGGAAAAATTAAGGATGTTTTTGTTAAATCATTTTCCACAAACACACATTTTATTCCTGCCTTTGAAAACCCAACATTTGAAATGGCACAGTGGTTATTTAAAAAATGAAAAATGTCCTGTGGTAGACATTTATTAAATACAAGTCATCTTTTCATTTTTGTTCAAAAAAATTAAAAGGTAATCAACTATTTGCAGCTTTTTACAAGTTGAATTGGCTGGGGTAATATCATAAAATGGGTCTTTGGATTGTGCAGGCAGCAGACCTCTGGACTAGACCTTAACATTAATATGGTTGGATCTATTATTGTGGCTCTGCCTAAATGTTGTGTGTCATCCTGTGTTAGAAGCAGCACACCTGCTCGTCTTTTTTGTAGGATTGTTTCATCAACTCCATCAATCAAAACAAAAAGCACAAAGCTGCCTCAACTATATTTTAGGTTAGGAGACGTACTGGTATAAAAATGAACTCTTCATTTTCCTACAGGCATACTATCTAGTAAGCAAGTTTTAAAAAAAGTAAATTTTTGTTCAGATGGACCTTCTTTTACATGTGTGTCCCTCATATAGATTCTTGACAGAAGGTTCCAAGATGTTTTATGCAATCTATATAATTTTTCGAGGGTTTACGACCAATAGTTTATTTTTCTTTTACCATATTCTTCCAACTTAGAAGGCAGCTTTTCTCCTCCCCTCCAAAAGTATCTGGGCTTCTTAACTGTGCCTCTTATTATTGCTTTCCTTACACACCCCGACAGTTTAGGCGTACATGCAGATCTTACTTTGTAGTTGTGCCACATTCTTGGTTTTTAAATGATAAACCCTAATAGTAGAAATTTCACAGTGGGCCTCAAACAACATGGATTCTAAGTGTCTTCAATCTCCCTCCAGACTCTGAGGCATTGATTTAAGAAATGAGTGCCTCACCTAATACAAGACTTTCGAAATACTGATGAAGATTCTCAGTCATCTAGTTTCCAAGCAATACAAGGCCTTGTCTATATAAAGCCTCAAACTCACTGCGAATCCAGATATTTGAATTGAGAAAGCTTCCTGGACGGGAAGCAAAACGTCTTCAAACCTTGGAAACCAAGTCCAGTGGATTGTTTTTTGTTTTGTTTTTAACTTTTACAGAATGACTTTCGAAATCTCTTTTCTTCTGGGAACATGATTTTGGACCACTGAGCACTGATCCATCCCTTTTCTGTTTTGCCTAAACCTCAGTTACTCCTTTTTTTTTTTTTAGAAGTAGCTGTAACAAAAAGAAGTATAAAAGTTGTAAAACATTTCTTGGATAAGTCTGTTTAGCTCTAATGGCTGTCTTAGTCCATGTCACGTAAAGCCAATTAAACAGCTTGATAGTCAATAAACTTGAGATTGTATTTTCTTTTTTATTCTCAGTCTATATTAACTTACATGGACTGAAATGAATCTAAATCATGTTTGGTTCATCGCCTTTTTAAATTGAGTAACTAAAATGATATTTAGCAATACTTATATCTACCTGTAAATGATCCTGATTACATCTGACACAGTTAGGGAGAAGTAAAAAAAAAATATCAGAAGATCAATAAAAAATGCAAGAGAATAAAAGTTGCAGACAGAAGGAAGGAAGGTTTCAGAACAAATCTCTTCACTTTATTCAACATACTGCACTTCAGGTGTCTGCATCTACCACAAACAAAAATACCCCAGTGGAACAGCTAAACACACTGAGTGAACAGAGAGGAGTGGAATGTTATACTCGGATAACTGTGATACATAGATATCTGTTAGCATCTGGTAACCTTAAAGCATTGCCAATAACAAAGATAATCATCTCTCAAATAAAGTGCTTGGATGGTATTCTCTCTGTCAGCGTAAAAATACAAAAACCTTTTCGAATAATGATAAGGCCTGATTATGTAAAAAAGAAAAAACAATCTTTTACTTTTATCAGATCAGTTATTGACAATGTTTTGATTGTTACATTAAGATATAGGAAGCAGAACTTCCTGACAGAATTATGCATACGTTATATTCAACAACTGCATCCAAATATAAAGGTAACAGTCACAAGGAGAACATCAGGGAAAATTTTCCGTTCCAAGTGTTCAGTCGATAGTTGTTGCAGGTTTTCGTTTAGAAACATGAATGCATATTTTAAACAATGGTTGGTTTGTAGCATCTAACCTGCAACAATTCAGTGATCTCAGCATTTTTAAACATGCTCAACAGTCGTCGCTAGGAAACCAGTAGGTGGCAGTAGAATACTACATATAATGTAAACTACAAAAGGTATGCTTTGTGAAAGACAGAAATCAGATTTACTTTACTCTGGCATCCAGCAAATTTATCTCTGGCTGGGAACCATGAGGCTACCCAAGTCCTATAGAATAACAGCTGAAAAAGGGAATTTAAACATAAAAGTCGGCTTTTAAACACTGCTCGTTTTGGTTAAATTCATATGCCACTCATGGTTGATTGGATGTTGGATTTTTTTGCATAAGATAGGTTGAACTAATTCCAATAAATCAAAGAGGAATTGCACAAATTACACACAAAGAATACGTCCTTAAAATGGGTAATGCTTCCTTATGAGGTCAATATGATTGAAATATTTCATGCATCTTTTGCATCTAATTGAGCATTTTTATTCAGACACGACGCTTGTAACATGACAGAATTTTGTTTTCAGTGGCAGTACTCATGCCCTATGAAGTTTTTCACATTTTGCATTGTTACATTTCTAAACTGCAATGTTTTTATTTTATGTAATAGAACAAAATAATGTAGAAAATGGTGAAGTGGAAAGGAATATGATACGGACGAGTTTGATTAATAATCTAAAAGGTGTGTTTTTCTATCCTAGTCCAACCAATGAAGTCCGAGGTTAGCATTATGATTTGTTTTTAAGAGTCAATGAGAACATTCAAGGCTTGAATGAAAAATCACCAGGAAGTATGAAGGTAGAAAATCAAATTATTGAGAATTTCAATCAATTTTTAAGGTTATGAAGACTTCAGGAAGTCCAGAAAATGGAAAGGGAATGGGATGGGCTGACTGTAAACCAACTAACCAACAACAAAAGGCCAATCAATAATCTGATTTATCCAAGCAGCTGCTAACAGGGACTAATCTGGGCTCTCCAACCTGCTACTGACTAGTATGGAGGAAAGTGGCAGCAGTCGGGGGTTCGGTTTTCCAGGTTTTATTCATGTCTCTCATCAGATAGATGCTCTGAAGAGGTGCATTGTGGGTCTCTACCTGCCCTTTACTGCTCTTGTGCATAAACTTTGGCTGGATTAAATAGTCAATCATTTGAATTAATTTGAATTGAAATGGTCAACCAAACAATAAGGATTAGGACATGCTTCTGTAAACAGCCCTGTAACAAGTAGGCAACATAATTCCCTACATGTTAAGCCTGAAATGATAAGAAGGGACAGGAAAAACAAGACACCAACAGGTCTATGGTAGCTTTGGAGGAGCTGCAGAGATCCACTGCTAAACTCAATCTGAATTATTCTTAATGTACTTTACAAGCCCGACTATTATGGAGGAAGCAGAAAGCAATAAGAATTCATATTTAAATTTGCCGCAAGGCACATTGGGACTGTAAGAAGGGTTTCTGTCAGTCAGGAAAAACCAAAATGGAGGAAAGACATGAAAAACGCTGTTTTGTCAGCTTTTTCTTTCCTTTACAGCAGAGCTACAACTTTGTAGGTTGTAGCTCTGCTTTATTCACTTTCTAGGTTTGTTAGTACGACTTAAGTCCAAACATTAAATCAATCAAAAGGCCATATCCACCCTGGATAATTATTGTTTGTAAGCTCTGCATCTCGAATGTAAGTTGTGGTGGTTTGCAAAGGTAAAGCAGGGAGTGACATACGGCAAACAACTAACAGGTGTAACTGCAGTGACAAGCGGTTCTGAAAAGTATTGATTTAAATGAGCTGAATACAAAGGAAGGGCACACTTTTCTGATTTAATGATGGAAAACATGTTTTTTTCCCCCCCTTTCACGTCAAAAATATTTGCTAGTTTTTTTGTTGTTGTTGTGACGCAACAAAATGTGTAAAAATTCAGTAGATAGTTGATGTTGAGCCACTGCCAGATTAATCTTTTGTGCTGTGAGAGACTATCTGAATTTTGACTTCAATCTTTAATTCTTCTGGTGTTGCCCTAAACTGCTAGCCTTGTGAGACCATCCTGATCTCGCAAGCTTTCAAGGTTTCACTCGCTAATCAGTCTGGAGACTCTCCATTGAAGAAAATTTGGAGCCGTTCACAAAACGAGCGTCCAATCAGCGTTGGCTTTGAGGCGGGTTGAGGTGTGACGCAACAAGAAGCGCAACAGTTCAGTCTAAAGAATATGGCGGCTTCGGCCGATGAAACTAGCGTTAGCGTGGCTATCGAACAAGTTTTATCGGAATTACAGAGTATTTCTTCACTGAAAGAAGAGCAAAACACTGCTCTGGAGGCTTTTCTCAGAGAAAAAGATGTTTTTGCTCTTCTCCCGACTGGTTTCGGCAAGAGTAGCCTGGCTGTTAGTACGTCATATGCTTCGTTGATCTGATTTGTTTATTTGGCCCGTCTATCACCAACATACGTAGGCCAATCAACTAACCAGTATTTTCGCCCCTTCCCAAAATTACTTCAACGGAAGGTTTCCAGATGGATATGCGGAGCAAATCCATCTGGCGGAGTCAGGTTACTAAACTGCTGCTTTGATTTGGAAAAAAAAGAAAAACAACAAGTTTACTGGACTATTTCAGTTCTATCTGCACAACCTGTACTTTAGCCGCAGAGCCCTTCAAGTTAAATATGCTACATCATTAACTGCCTGGCTGAAAACTCTTCACTTTACTCAATACATGTGCTTATATGATATATAAGTATTCTACTCTTCCTACAGTCTTATCAGCCTGCATTGTGTGTGTGCGATAAGTCGATTAGAGGTTTTTAATCCTTCTTGTGTCCCAATTATCCCTGGAACCTAACTACAGATTTCCAGGCTGCCTTCTGTCACGCCGCCTTAATGAGCATAATGGCTCCCAGAAAAAACAAACATGTGTTCAACCTTTTTCAGACACACCTGTCTTCTGCTTCACAGACCACAACAGGAGTATGGATTAAAAGAGTATTAAATCAGCTGCTGACAGAGCTGTCTCCTGCGGCGATGTAAATGCTTTCTGAGTGTTTGTGCTTCTGCGCATGGCTGGACGGAGAGGCTGAGGGAGAAGAAAGGCTGCTGTGGCCTTCCTGTGAGAGCGAGATAAGCACTGAGCCCCAAGTTCAGTCCTTCTCTTTCTCCTCTGGTGCTTTCCAGAATCCTTAGTACAGGAGGACAGGATAAACACACACAGTTATGACAGACAGGTCCTAATGTAACATCCGCTGACAGAGGATCGCCGTGGCTTCGGCTGACCGTTCAGCGAATGAGGAAACAGGCCTAACCATGCCTCTGCTTTTATCCAGACGCCAAACCGATGCTGTGTGCAATATGTACTGCTCGGAGCAAATACTACAACTTGACTGATTCACTATACGGTTTGAACAACAAAAAAAAACCCATCCTGGTTTGGTAAAAACAGAGTAAAAGAATTTGGTATTCACGGTATTCAGCATGTTTTGATCAGTAAAGCACTTTTTGACCCTCTTGTACCTATTATGCACGTACAGTACATAGCATGCATTCACATTGACCCACACACATAGATATATATCTGATAAAGTGTTCCACTTTACGTGACTATGTGTCTTTATAAAGTATGCATCATAGAAAACCAACAGTTAATGCACCTTTACGGGTTTTTCTTTTTTTTTTCTGCTTTTACATTAGAATTTTTCAAGGATTTAATTAATAAATAAGACTTTATATACTATGAAACTGGAATGTACATCTTTAAGTGCCGTTTTCATTTTGTCCCTTCCAAAAAAATGTTTTTAGTATTTTCTTCTAGTGTCTGACTTGATTTGAAGATCCTGGGAAGAGGGGGTCACATTTTTGGAAGGTTCCCAGGTGCTGCTTTTTCAAGCGGAGAATTGCCAGGACTTTGAGTCACCACTCGAGCTCCTGCAGGAGGGTCCAACTTCCCAGTGGCAGCCCCCTGCTTCTCCTCTGATGCCTTGTTCTGCTGCTCTTTATTCTTGGCCCCCTCTGTAGAGCCCAGCTTGATTGGTCCGAGGACATTTTTGGCCACGGTTGTGAGCTGGCTGACGAAACTCGTCTTGTCTCCGGGGGAAATAGGCCGCGACTTACAAAGCGAAGGTCCACAGAGAGAGGGCGTGACAGCTGTTGGGGAGGGGGACGGAGAGGGCGAATGCTCCTCCACCACTTCCAGGCGACATTTATCTTCCCAGTCCAGAGTTCCCCTGTAACAATTAACGGGACCCAACCCTTGCCTCACTTTACCCATTGAGAGCGGCGGCCCATGTGAGGGAACCACAGGAGCCAGAACCCGAGCTTGCAGTTTTGGGCTTTTGGAGCCCAGCTCTGCAGTTCTTGAATCATTGTTGTCAGACTTCCGCTGGTTGTTTCCGATACCTGATGACTTATAAGTCTTATTCATGGTCAGAGAAGCTCCTGTTTTGATTGCGGTTGATTTTTCCAAGGTAGAAGAGCTCTTATTTAAGGCAGCAGTTGTCAGACAGGATCTATCTTTGTTTTCTACCTCTTGCTTTGGCTCAGGTTTCCCTCCTTGTTGCTTGAGCTGGAGATCTTTGCTGTTTTTAACCTCTAGTTGTGCAGGAGATGTGCCTGCAGTTTTGATAGGAGAACCAGGAGTTGTGGATTTTCTGTTTTCCTCACTGTGTTTGGAGTTCATGCTAATGTCACTTGAATGAGATTTTCTCACCAAAGATGACTGTGACCCTGGCCCACCTGCCTGATTTATCCCCATCTCTCTGTCTTTTTCCCTTTCTCTCCCTCTTTCTCTCTCTTCCCTTTCCCTTCCAGCTAGCAGAGTCTCCCTGCTGAGGGGTGACTCCTGTCTCCCAAGCCTCCTTACAGGCTTCAGCACACCAGTCTCTGGGACAGTGGAGGAAACTGGCGGCGTTGGAACATTGGGAGGCAGGTTCTCTCCTTCCGTCTCCATCAGGCTCTGGAGTCCAAGCTCACAGAGGAAGGCATCTTTGCGGTACTCAGAGTGCTGCACCTCTAGGCTGTGCTTCCTCAGCGGACCTCCAAGTCCTCCGGTTGAACTGGACTGGGTCAGAGGAGAGCCGAGCTTCTCTGCAGACTGCACTCGCTTAAGGAGAGGTGACCGTGGGGGCTCTGCGCTCTTTGGCCTGGGTCGGACCACTGGTGGCGAGGAATGGAGCTTTGCAGAAAAAGACTGTGTCGTGTTCGAACTTCCTATTGTGTGGCCTGGCATAGCAGGAGGGGAAGACTGGGTAGGGGAGGGTGTGTGTGCCAGAGGGGATAGAGGGATGTTTCCAGCAGATTTGCAGCGGGCAGAGCGATACTGGCGGTGAAGTTTTGGGGAAAGGCCATGCAAAGAGCTGGGCCTCATGTGCTGAGAGGGAGAGGGTGAGTTTGGAGTGCTGGAGGCAGGAGAGCTGCTCTGGGAAGAAGCTCCTGAAAAGGTCAGCAAAGACATGGGAAGAGGAAAAGTTCAAAGTCACAGTATGAAACCTGGATAAAGCTCACGTATAATTTAGCTGCTGGATGATTAAACAATGCCACGTACCGAGGTAGGAGGGCTCGGGCGTCGAGCGGTGGGCCTGAGTCGGAGACCTGGCAGACAGGCTATGAGTCGGGGAGCCAGGAAGACTCTCACTGGAGGATAGTGAGCGATTTAAAGAGGAGAGACTGCGGCTGGTGTGGAGGAGGTTGGACTGCTTCGTGATCTTACGGAACAAGGAGCTGCGCTTCTTACTGCAAAAGGGACAGAAAATCGAAACAAATACGAGAAATTCAAAGGTTCAATTAGAGAATAAACATTTCGTTATTGTCCTTCAATTCAGAAATTGTTGTGTTACACCAGCAAAATGTTACAGTAGCAAAAGCTTAAAGCACTTTCTAAGGTCCACATTGTTTATATGCTGTACTGTACAGTTTGTTTTCAATCTGGAGAGTAAATAATCAATAAACAGCTGTGGACATTTTTACAGTAAGAGATATGAGAAAAATAGCAGCATAATCAGAGATGTGCAAAAAGACAGCAGCATGTTATTTAACTGACTAAGAGAGAAACTGTGTCAAAACTGTAAATACACAGTGCGTCCACATGATCCTGTGATACACTTTAAACTCATGAGACTGAGAGCCAAGATTTAATATCTGGAAACTCCTCATTAGTTAAGAGAGTTTAAAGCAGGCCGGTGTTTAACTCCAGTGAAGTGGAGGAGCTGTGTTAAAGGTTCCCCAAATTTTGAAGAAAGCCACGTTGAGTCTAGTGACTGACAAAGAGTCTGCTATATGACATTGGTCATCTTATATCCTGAATCCAGGGATTAAAGCTAAAAAAAAAACCTGAGCCTGAACTTTTTCGACACAGGCAAGAATTTTATATATATATATATATATATATATATATATATACATATATATATATATATATATATATATATATATATATATATATATATATATATATATATATATATATTTTAGGGGTGGAACGGTTCACAAAATCCACGGTTCGGTTCGGTTCATGGTTTCGTGGTCACGGTTTTCGGTTCGGTATATGTTGATTGCATGACATGTCGGTTGCTGTTAGCATAAACAAAACGTGTTGCACAATGCTTGCACACTGTTGCACTTTTATCCACAACTTTCTTTCCGCCGTCATCGTAGGTCACTCTAAATGCAAAGTGGTCCCATACAGCAGACCTATAAAGTGCTGCTGGCGCGTCTTCCAACTCCTGTTCTTTCCTACTCGCCATTCCGACACAATTCTCCACAACAACTGATTTTTTTCTGCTACACCCGGCTAAGCTGCTTCTTCTTCTTGTTTACTACTGGTGGTTGGCTTTGGTCGCAGTACCGCCACCTTCTGCTCTGGAGTGTAAACGCTTCGCCTATGAGAAAAAGGAGCAGCGCATGAACCGAACGAAACACACACGAACCGAACCGAGACAGTCGAACCGAACGGTTCGGACGGTTTTCATAAACCGTTCCAACCCTAATATATATATATATATATATATATGGCTATATATATATATATATTAAAATTGTTGAGAAGATGGCAAAATTGCATCTATATCTAGTGTGAACGAAGGCTGATTTACTTCAAAACTAGGTTGTCTGTGTAGGTGTCACAGTGAACGCAGAGATATCCCCGCCCCCTCCACAGACACTCTGGTGCACCTCTCCCAAATTGTAGGTGACTACAGACAGTGCTGCAGACAGCAGGCGTCCAAATTGGTCAAACCTACATCCGCTCTACACATGCGTATTTCCTGTTTGGTACCTTACTGGCTTGTTTTGTTTGTATGACCGCCATTGTGGAAAACGACTCGTTAAGTGCTTGAGAATGCTAGGACCCTTTTTCCACCTGGATCCCCGCTCTTTTGGGGCAAGTTTTCGCACAAACTTGCCCCAACTTCCTCACTGCCTTGGCTGTATCTAGACCCCCAGCTAGTTCCTGATTGTCCCTCTTGCATTGTGGCGTGGAAAATATAGCGCAGACCAGGCTTCAAAATTAGGCATAAATCAAAAATGTCTGTTTCATACCTGCGACAAGGTCACTGCAACAGACTGCTGCTGGATTATAACTAGGCTCTGAGAGGTTGTGTTCGGTGAGAAAAGCACAAACCCTTATTTTTAACTCGCATACACGGTTGCCCAGGCCAGAAATCCGGCCTGGGGCTGGAATACTTTAATCCCTGTGAATGTGAGCCTGAAGAGTAAAACCTGAATGCTTTCCTTTAGTTGATCTAATCAGAACTAACATTTTAAAAAGATATAAAGTTTGAGGAAATGCTTCATTCTGCCAAAGGTTGCAAGTAATGATATATAGCACCAGATAGCATTAGCTGATCAATTGTTTGAATACTGTTGAATCAGTAATTTGAAAATAGCCCCATGTGGCATTACATCACCCAATGAGATGAGTTTCTGCTTCACATACAGTAGCTCTATTGGATAAAACAGAGAAGCAGCTCAGCCTCTCAATACTGCTCTGGTACAGCAGTAAAGGACTTAGTAACAAACTGTCAGTATTAACTGAAAAGTTCAGGTTCTACCTGTCCTGACTTTCCTTCCCAGCTGTCCTCTTGTTTCGTCGAGCCATCTTGCACTTGTAGCTGGCTTTACGGGCTGGCCCCACTTTAATGGAGGTGTTCTCAAAAGGCGTAGTTGTCACCGTCACCTTGTTGCCACTCTGCACAGAGCAACCAAATGATTTCTGCAGTGAGATCTCACAGTGCTGACTCTCTGACAAACAGCCATGCTTCGACATGTAAAGGCCACAAGTTATTTAAATTTTAGCACCGATAAAAATATCATTGATATGAAATGAAAGTGATAGAAACCTTGAGGATGAGCTCCACCACTTCAGTGTGGACCAAACCATGGACCGGCTCACCGTTGACGTGCGTTATCAGGTCACCTGCGCACAGACCGGCTTCCTGAGCCGGGCCTCCGTCCTCCACATGCTGCAGATAGACAAATACATTAAAACCCAAAGAATACATTAACATGGAAGAAAATTAAGTAACACTAAGAAACCAGGAAGACTTCATACTGGGCAGTTTATGTTTACCTCTGCATTCTAGCTACATAGAAACCTCTGGTTACATAACACAACTTATTAAACTAGATCATCAAATGCTGTTTTACATATAACTAATTAAAGAAAAACTTCTAAGGTTTTTGTGAACTAAAGAGTTTTAAATGAGTCCTCAGGCTAATATACGATACGTTCTTCCAGGTCAAGTGACCTGGAAGAACGTATCGTTTTACTGCCACAGGCTCTAATATTGTCATGGAGCTAAGGCTTTAGCTTTACTTTTACTCCGCCTGCTCGACTGCTGGTTATGGCTGAGGAGGCTAAAAAGTGAAAAACCTGAAAGGGATGAAGCACGAGGAAAAACAAGAGTCGATCATGGAAAGCAGTTTGTTCGTTTGCTCAAGCTGAGAGAAGAAGCCGGATGTAAAACGGATTCAATTTTTTTATCAACTTTATTATTAGACTCGTCAGTTAACACTTTGTTACTAGTATACAGTCATATATCTTTGTTACTATTTTTTAGGTTTAGTAGAAGCAAAATACAGGCAGTTGGGGCTATTGCCCCTAGTGGCCAAAAGCTACTGGGTGTGCCTTTAAGCTAATAAGTAAATGACAAAAACAAAAAGCTATGACTCGCATGTCGCTTTTCAAAATTTTCTTACCCAAACCATGTGATGGACGCTGTAGATGTCACTGTCTCCGATGTAAACTCTGATAGCCCTTAGGGTAAAGCCATATTTCTTCCCAGAGCGATGAATTGTGATCGGGGATCGAAGAACGGTGACCGCAGGAAAGAAGTCTCGGCTCGGTGAGGAGTCACGGGATGAGGGGTTGGAGGAGAAGGAATGAGGTGACATGGGGCTGGCCAGTGGAGAGAAGCCACCGTGTTGCTCCACTGGAGGAAAGGAGAAGATGGCGGTTAGAGAAGATATTAATTAGAACAGTGGCAGTGTTTTAGGACCTTCAGCCTTTCACCTGACGGGATGATAACGGACAGAGCTGTGGCCGACGCTGACTTGATGACCTTGTTTCCTTGTCGTGAGTTCCGTTTTTCTCCGTCGCCAGATAAGTGGTGATGGCGTGCCCGGCGGAGGACCAGGTCATTGGTGGCTCTAGCCCCCAAGGGGTCACACAGAGGGGTGATCACATCTCGACAGGGCGCGACAGGACCAGGGGATAATGTCATGATGGCTGAGCTTATGTTGGATGTCTCTGAAAGTCTGGGTGATTTCTCTGCAAGAAGTCCGATGGTTTGATCAATAAGTGATTTAATCAGTTTAATAGAATGTTTGCCTTCTAAATCTGCCAACATACCTGCTCCATTGAGCTCCCTCACAAAGGGCCTGTGCTCCAGGAGGCTTGGTGAAGGGACGGTTGTCCCATCTAGTGAGGTTCCTCTGAACCTCATCAGGTTCTGGCGGGTCAGAGAATCCGACTCCCCTTCAAAAGTTGAGGCAAAACGATGGGTGTCCATCAAAGCTGAGAAGCGGCGCCTGGCACCAAGAGGAGGACTCGCATCTCCTTCCGAGTACAGAGACTCAGAGCAGGACAGCCGCTTCCTGCACAACAATGGTGAGGTACAATGGTCACTGCAAACCATTTGCTAACAATCATTTAGTGACCATCAGAGATGGGAAGTAACGAAGTACAAATACTTTGTTACTGTACTCAAGTAGATTTTTTCTGATATTTTTACTTTACTTTACTGCTTATTTTTATGGCGACTTTTTACTTCTACTCCTTACATTTTTACACAAATATCTGTACTTTCTACTCCTTACATTTTTAAAAATTGTCTCGTTACTTTAGTTTTGAATCATTTCAATGGAGTTACAGTTATTATTTTTCACGTCATCAACACCAAATTCAATCTAATTGGATGGGAATCTACGTTGCATTTGACGCACCACTACAAGATGAATCGACAGATTCGGCGGTATTCATTGGCGGCAAATCATTTCAGCTTGGTGGCGGTGGCGTTAGCATAGTAGCATGGACGACGAGATGATTGAAAATGAACACAACGGAGATCTAGTCCTATTGGCAGACATCCATTTAAAATGTAGGCAACGGCATGAAAAAAGGTGGTTTCTACTTTTATTTTTATACTTTAAGTAAATTTACAAGCCTGTACTTTGTTACCTTTACTTGAGTAAAGAAGTTTAATCAGTACTTTCACTTTTACCAGAGTATTTTTTAACACAAGTATCTGTACTTTTACTCAAGTACGGAAAGTGAGTACTTTTGCCATCTCTGGTGACCATATATTAATACAACAGCCCTGATCTATTATTAACCAGCCACGTACTTCCAACCTTATCTCAGAGAAACATACAGGTTAGTAGTCAAAATTGAAGCACAAATTATGTTTTTTTATTCACATGTTAAGTTTTGTCAGCTGATGAGCTTGAAAGGAATCCAGATATTAATAAAGGGGACCTATAATGCTGGATTTTCACATTTAGAATAGGCCTATGGGTCATACCAACATGTTCCTTAAATTATTTGCACAAGATTATTCTAAATTAATTAGACCTGACCTCCTCCATTTTTATTCTTAAAAAAGCACAAAAGGCTTGATTACTAGACACTAGGGCTGAAGGAATTAATCAAATTAATCATGATTTATCAATTATTGAAATAATTTAGCAATTGATTAATCACAGTGGTGGACAAAGTACCCAACAGTAGTACTTAAGTAAAAGTATTCATACTCATAGTCAGATCTTACTCAACTATGAGTAAAAGTTAATAGGTCAATAATCTACTCTAGTTAGAGTATTGAATTGCTCACTAATGAAAATACTTAAAGATATAGTGGAAGATTTTCATGAATCTTTGAAAACATCCACCCTCCTATTTAAAAAAAAAAAAGCACATTCACAACCCTGTACCCGCTCGCAAGAGGGATCATCTATTAAACGCGTGTGGGAGAGTGCACGAGCCCATTTCTCCTCGTGCACATGCTATTTAAAAGTAGTTGTTTGCATCGCTCAATACGATACAATACAATACAATACAAGCTTATTTTCCAAAAGGAGATTTGCAATTTTCCCCTATGTCAGACTCATCACCGGTAAGTAAAAATGGTGACAAGCTCATTGGACGGCCTTACGTAAACATATCAACAGAATGATTGACAATTAAGAAGATTTATTTTGATGAGCTAAAGCAAAAGGACAATACACTATTGTCTTTGAAATATCTGACACTGAAATGTAGTGTAGTAAAAGTGATAAGGACCCCCCAAAAAACGACTAAAGTAAAGTAAAGGAACTCAAAAAGAGTACTTAAGTACAGCAATCAAGTAAGTGTGCTTTGTTACTCTCCAACATTATGATTAATCGTAAACTAGAGTACAGATAACATGCCTTTAGCTGACAGGGCGACCCGCTTAGAGCAATTATTATACAAAAATTTAACATATAATATATAAATATTTTGCATTTGAGATTTAAAAAAAAAGTTTCTGTCTGTCAATATCCTTATTTAAGAACTCCTTGAGTATTTATGAAGAATAAGAAAAAAACTCACATCTCCGGAGACCCAGTCCTCCAGCTTTTCTCCCTCATGCCGAAGCTTCCGAGGCTCTCTCTTTTCGTCACCTTGTCCTCCCGTGGGCTTCTGTGTTCCCGACGGGAAACAGAGGTTGTAGCTTTCTGCTCCAGCTGGGAAAGATGCTCCATGCTGCTGTACACCTGCAGGAAGACAAGTAGCTCATTAGACCTTTGGTCGGGTGTGTTAAGTTAAAAATGTCACAGCCGAGTTCTAACAAAGATTAAATAATTTTTGTGCGGTAATTATATCCACTCTCAGGCCAAATAATTGTTACAGAAAAATGCTCTTACACCTTAAATGGAACTGTCAGCACTTGTGAGAAATAGGTTTTAAAAAGAAAGAATATTTACTCTTCTCTTGTAATGTTTCTAAAACCATTTGTAATGTAACTAAAAAGATATGCATACATCTAAAAACTATATGTATGTATATATATATATATATATTAACCTTTGACCTTTAAATGAAGGAATACCGGTGCCTGTCAGGATTCCTGTCTGTGTGTGTTTTTTCTGTGTTTGTCCCCCTTCCTCCACCAGGAGGCGCCTGGTTCTGGTCCGCCTCTCCACACACATGCTGTGAGTTACCTCATTAGCGGAGCGCTCTTAAACTGCTGACTGCCACTACCTCGACGTCAGAGTGTTTTCCAGTTTTGGGTACTCTAGCCAAGCTGAGTTTTGCTGAGTCTAACTGAGTTCTTGTCAACCTGAGTTTTAATCTTGTTTTTGTCTTTGCCTCTTGGCAGGAAGTCATCCTGCAAACTGGATGTTTCGGACCTTCTCTCCCTGGAAGGATCATCTATGCTTGATCCTAAATGAAACTGGAGGTTTGAATCCACTTTCCCCCAAGAGATCATTTGAGCTTCACACTGAGTAAGGGATTCATCTCTACTACGACCTGTTCAAGTACCGCAGGAAATCTGACTGGCAGTCAGCTTCTCCGTTCGCCTTCTAACACATTCTACCACATTCTGGGTAAACCCTGTCTGCCCTCCACTGAATCAGACAAACACTGAAACTTCTGCAGACAGACTGGAGTCTAAGAGTCAGCAACTTCTCTGGAAATGTGAGTTATCTACCAAATTCTCCTCTTCAAGTTTGAGAATCAAAATTCCTACTGAGCCTGAACTAACCGCAGTGTCTTCCCCTCACCTTTCAGTTCCGGTTGAGCAGTGTTCAGAGGAACACTGGATTCTTCACAAACTCCTAAATAAACCTGTTAAACCTTTCCCCTGGTCTCTCTGAATTGGTCTCTCTGCATGTGGGTCTGAGCTCTCGATAAAATCATGACAGTGCCAAAGTAATGAGGGATCTGTAGGAGCCTCTAACTGCAGAGGCTGATAAGGAGGATGCTATGGTTTTACATGTTCTTCATTTTGTGAAGCATTATGTTTTTGTTAAAATGTCTCCTCAGGATTCAGAGGAGCCCCCAGAACAGACCCCAGGTTCTTTATCAGCTCTTTCATGGCTCCAATGCTGCTACCTCAACAGATAATGGCAGAAGGGACTCCTTTCTCTACAACAGAATCATTGCGTCCTCTGTTCCATCGCAAATAGCAGCCTTTTTTGTCAGTGGTGGACAGTAACGGAGTAAATTTACCTGATTAGAGTACTTAAGTACCTTTTTTGAGTATCTTTACTTAAGTATATTTTGCGGTGAGTACTTATAACTTTCACTTCACTATATTTCAAAGTCAAATATTGTGCTTTCTACTTCACTACATTTCTAGGAAGCTAGTTGTCACTCGTTCCTTTTGGCTCAGCTTAGGTCTGTTAAAAGAGGATGTATAAGTTATCTCTCGATTTCAACACACCTGTGTCAAATGGTAGCTCATTAGGAGGCATGTGCAGAACTTTGGCATGTAGAGCAGGTACTAACTACCTCCACGGAGAATAAAGAAAAACAAGCAAGATAGCAGTCCTTGAGGACTGATTTTAGATACCACTGTTTTAGAGATTTGCATGACGTTGCAAAAATGTGAAAAAGATATTATTTGCTGTTTACAATTTTAGGTGTGGGTTGTTGCCATGTGACCAAGCTGTTCAGTAGGATGTGTTCTCAAAGCAGAGTTGAGGTTCCTTTTTGGTAGTAGAATTAACCTTAAACCTCTATTTCATAGTGAAAGTGTGAGGAGAATCAAGACACTCCTGTTTTCTTTTTCTTTTTGGTTTGTCTTTAAATAAGAAACAATAATCAAAATAGCTGTCTATTTCTTTGTGGCATTTTTATGCTGAAGTTCTTTACAGGTGGTGTAGAAGTTGTAGCAGAGGTTCTAAGCATCAGTACCTGAGGTGGTTTCTGAATGTTACAAGGTTCTTTTAAATTATTCTAAAAATTACACAGAAATGTACCAATACTAGAAAATTACATCTGTACTTTGAACGCTTAAGTACTTTTAAATGCAGATACTTTTGAATACCTAAGTATTTTCAAAAGTAAGTACTTGAATAGTTTAACTTGAGCAGATTTTTGACCCGGCAAATTTTACTTGTAGTTGAGTAAGATTTGACCATTAGTATCAATACTTGTACCCAAGTACTATAGTTGAGTATTTTGTCCACCGCTGTTTCTTGGATAACAGAGCAAAATGCGCTAATTTCTAAGTTTAAGATGAGCTCCACAGAAAATCTGACACAGTAAGAATAAAGTAGATCCTATTTCAAAATGAAAAGCGATGTCAGACGGATACTGTGGACTTGAGCACGGCAGCATCTGTGGTGGAAGGTTGGGGTGGACACGGAATGTAGTGAGTGAAGCTGGTCCTAAAGGAGATATGTAGCATCTTCCTGCAAAAATGTTTCGTATCCAGTTGAGTTTGTTGTCCAGGGATCTCCCAAATATTTATACCCCTCCCCTTCTTTTCCCATGATAGTAATAACATTCGACTGGTAACCGTCAGGTTGTGTGGAGGTTTTTAGAGGAGCTACTGCAGAGATGGAGGCTGAGGTGGTTTCTTGCAGATTTAAATAAAAAAAAAAATAACGTAAAAAAATACAAAATCCAAAGCCAGAACTCATCAACAAAGAAAACTCAAGAACCAAAAAAATCTTGGAGACACGAGGTAGGAATAAACCTAAAAGATTGACAAGGATCTAGCAAAGAGTAACTGAACAGGAGGTGTATATATGGGAGACACAAACAATAGGAGGGCTAGTTAGCTGATAGGGAGTAAGTGTAGACAGAAGTAACTACAGGGAGCTGAGGGAAAGGAGACTGGCACAAGGGGGCAACAGAGAGTGACTAAAAAAACAGTGCTTAAATATAACAAAAAAATGGAAAACAGAATAACATAAATCAAAGTGTAACTGAGAACTTAAAAAAAAAAAAAACTTAAATAGAAGTCCACAAAGGGCACGATCATGACAGGTAACTGTTCCTTCTTTAATCTATAATCATCTCCCTCGTTGTATTAACCTTTTTTTTTTTCAATGTATTTACATTTAGGATCAGATGATCGTTTTATCACCATGCCGACAGAGGTTAACCAGCTTCTTTGTTCAGTTTCTTTTCCATCTATAAAACAACTCAAGAGTGCAGAGTTAACTGAGACGAGAATAACAGAAAGTCCCTCATGGCATGTTTAGATCAGGCTTTTTCAACTCTTCTCTACAAGGCACACTATGCTGAATGATGTTTTTGAGCTTTAGCAAGTGATGGCTGATTAGAAGGCTTTGATGAACAGTAATTATCAGAATCAGGTGTGCTAAAGCAACCACGTTTTAGATGTGTCTCTGCATCCACCTGAACCAATTGGTGTAATTACCTCTTCAGCATGCAGTCGTGTTCTCTGAATTCCTGCTAATGGCCTGATTGTTTGACTCTGGTGTGTTAAAGAAGCGACATGTCAAAAATCTAAAGGACACTGATCCACAAGGACTTGATATGTAGATTCTGGATCTAAAACATGTGGTGTGCCTTGAATAGCAGGGATGAAAAACATGGGATTAGATTAAATTATATGCATTAGAATGGCTCAAAGTTTAGACTGAACGCCAAATGAGAATCTGTGGCAAGACTGACATTCACTGACTATCCATCCTATCTAAGGTATTTTGCAAAGATGAATATGCAAAATTTCAGGCTCTAGATGAGCAAAGTTAGTTATGACTTATGCCAGGACATGCAGCTGTAATTGCTGTCACGTTTTTAAAGAAATAAGAATCGGTTGCATGGTGGCACAGTTTGTAGCACCCTATTCCTGTGGCAGGAAAGTTCTGGGTTTGAACCCCGGCCTTGGGTCTATCTGCATAGATTTTTGTTGGTTCTCCTGTGCATCCTCTGGCACTCTGCATTGCTCCTAGTTTAAAAACATGACTTCTAGCTATTGGGGAATCTAAAGTGCCCTTAGGTGCAGAGATGGGGGATCTGGAGTCAAAGAGTCATCTCTCTGTCTTGTATTTGTTCTACCCAGCCACTGAACCAGGTGAGTCCAATCTGGTTTAACCTGTGCAGATTGGACTCACCTTGTCAGAACAAATACATGACATAGAGATGACTTGATGACTCCAGGTCCCCCATCTCAGCTTAGGTGTGAGTGTGTTTGTATGCATGGTTCTGTGCAAGGGCGTAGGTTTGATTTGAACTTTGGTGGGGACACTATTGGTCTGGTGTCATTGGTGCTGAAATATGCGTGCCCTTTTTTATGCTCGATGTGAGCATCCGTACTGATAAGACGAATTCATTGTTAAAAGAGAAAAGCATCATTTTGCTACATTAATAAAAATTTTATAAGCACTACACTCATTAGATGCTGTTTATCAATGTTTGAAGTATCACAGGCTCTGATAAATGTGGAATTAGGACTGTTTTCCACTTTGTAAATGGTTTCATTTGCATGACTAATAGAGAAGGTAAATACAGTATATTCTTTTGAAGATATACAATAGTGCAGAGTTAAACCCCACTCTTATATTTTACCTACTATGCTCTCTCTGTATCAAGCAAAATAATACATTCATTAAAATATTAACTTCACTATAAAAGTTGAACATCTGGGCTGTAGTTACTCTGTATAGCCCATTTCATCTATTTTATCTAGGGCTGAAAAAATTAATCGTATTAATTGATTATTTCAATAATCGTCAACTAATTTAGTATGTGATTAATCATTAACTGGAGAATGGAGACTATAAAACATAAT